CCTCTTTTTTTCGGTCAAAGTCAGGGAACAGTTACCAACTCGAACTCCACCTCTCCGGTCTGGTACGGTCGACTCTCTAGCTACGACGGGGATCTGGGGTTCGTGCTCACGGGGCACGCTGTTCGGACCCAAAGTCGTTTCGCCTTCTTAGTTTAATTAACTCACAGCACGTCGCATGCGTTACCATACCTTTTTTGGCGTACGGGCCCCCGATTACTGGGCTAGACTCCCCCGCTCAAAACACAAGTCTCTCTTCTCCTCCCTGGCCCTGGTCTGCCCGCCGACTCCCTGGCGGACATCTATTAACTGTTCCCACGCCTCAGTCTGCCGAGAGAGGGTTTCTATGGACATCCACGCGCAGGACCAATCCTCCACTACTCCACTTTCACCCGGGTCTCGGGACTTTGGAGGGTTATGAAGGTTCCTTTATTTGAGGTGGATTGGGTCGTGTTCGGACGCGAATATCGCATGGTGCACATTACCCCCGATAATTATTTGTTTTAAATTGGTTGGACTCCGGAAATCGGAAAAGGGTACAGTCGCCTGTGTTCGTTTGGTACTCCGTATCGGGCGGTAACCTAAAGTGTCTCGTGGTACTCTTTCATACAAGGTCTTTAAGGACGGGGCCGACGGAAAAATATTAACTTAAAGAACGATCTACCGTTTCCCACTCTTGACCTAAGAATCAACATCGGCAACTCTGTTGTTTCCCCGACTCAGACTGCAAGGAATCTGGGTGTGATCCTAGATAACAAACTGTCCTTCACTGCAAACATTGCTGCTACAACCCCGCTGCTGCAGATACACGCTTTACAACATCAGGAGGATACGTCCCCAGCTGACCCAGAAAGCGACGCAGCTTCTGGTCCAGGCTCTCGTCATCTCACGTCTAGACTACTGCAACTCCCTCCTGGCTGGTCTACCTGCATGTGCCATCCGTCCTCTGCAGCTCATCCAGAATGCAGCTGGCTCGTCTGGTCTTCAATCTTCCTAAATTCTCCCACACCACACCGCTCCTCCACTCACTTCACTGGCTTCCAGTAACTGCTAGAATCCACTTCAAGACACTGGTACTTGCGTACCATGCTGCGAATGGATCTGGGGACATGGTTAAACCGTACACCCCAGCACGTGCACTCCGCTCTACATCAGCCAAACGGATCCCTGCACCCGCACTGCGAGGGGGACGCAAGTTCCCATCAGCAAAAACACGTTGGTTTGCTATCCTGGCTCCAAAATGGAATGAGTTCCCCATTGACATCAGGACAGCAGAAAGCTTACACATCTTCCGGCGCAGACTGAAAACTCATCTCTTTCGACTCCACTTCGAGCAATAAAATAAAAAACAGAAAAAAAAGAAAAAAAGAAAAAAAACACTTATATACTAACTAAGCACTTACATACTAACAAAGGACTGGCTTATCTAAAGCCTGTTGAGTAGCATTTAAAATGGTTTGGCTCTATGAAACCTAAAGTACTTATATGATTCCGTTTTCTTCAAGTTTGTATCTTCTTGGTCGAATGCACTTATTGTAAGTCGCTTTGGATAAAAGCGTCAGCTAAATTAAATGTAAATGTAATGTAAAGTATATGGTGAAAGAAAAATATAGTATATAATTGTTAATGCTAGATTGAAAACGTTTTTTGTAGTCTTAGGACCAGGCAGTGGTGCATTTTAATACAAAAAGTATTATTAAACCCTAGTATAGCCCAGCTTGATTGTAGTAATTATGCTTGTTGTGGGAGGTATTTTGTATTTTTCAAAAATGTTTGCCTCGTGTTATTGGACTTCAAGGTTGTTTTTTAAATCTAGACTGTCTTGTGCTTTGTTTATGTCTTTGTCTTTAACATATTGGGTCAATATTTGAAATAAGTGTTTACACTTTAACATTATATCCTTTGGATACTTTTGTTTCCTTGTCTGATAAGCCATAAATAATGGCTAAATCAATGTAAAACCTCTTTAATAACTACAATGGACAAGAAAAACCTGACTAAAATCAAACATATATTTCCCACTACTTTACACCCAGGGTAATCCAAGTATTTAATAATGCAACCTCACAAACCTCCTTTAATAACCCAAATTCACCTCAGTATTTGCACCACTATCCAAAACTACTTTCAAGCAGGAGATAAAAGTATGTTTTACTCACTAGTATCAATTTCTGAAAGGCAGATGCAAAATATTCTCAAAAGCCATCCGCTAACTTGTTTGTCTATCCCAAAATAAAATTACATCAGAATAAATAATGACTAATATTTACGATGAGTCATGACAAAAGTCAATGTTGCTAGATGTAATCTTAATAAAGCAGAAAATGCCACTAAAATGGGGCTAATTTCACATTACATTGTATTCTTTGCCATTTCACTTCATGTGTATAACACAATATCAATGCTGAGATGGGGTGCTTGGCACCACATTACATTAATGAGCCTTTAGAACATTTGTTTTGTCCTGAACATTTGTTTAAAATGACTTCTAATGGTGGTTTAATTATCTCAAAATGAAAGAGGTAGGAGAGGCCTTAATGTGAGCTGTTAGATATTGTGGAACTGACACCATCTTTCTGTGGTAATTCTCTCTTTCCCCTATGTCTATATAAGCCTCCAGGCTCCGGACAGATGGTGGTACAATAACACCAAATACCACGAGAAATATTAGTAATTACAATGGTTACACTGTCAGAACAATTGTTCAGAAAGATGCTTGTGAGCCTAAATCCTCAGATAAGAAACAGGGTCTTACTGTTACCTGAAGCACTGTAAGTGGTGATGCAATATACATAAGTTGGATAAGGACCATTTTATAACCATATTTACAACTAGGGAAGCCTCAAATGATAGCGATGAGAATAACGTTTATTGTTAGGGCATCTCAGGCTAAGATCCGTTGACTACTAGGCAGTCACGACTACTACAGGCACAATTGGATACATGCTAACATTAGCTTTTGTTAACTCAAGCTTGGGCACAAAGCAGTTGAATACAGCTAGCAATAGCTAGCCTGTTGTGTTGAACTCTGTCGCCTTTTCTGTGGAGATCCCAGTCAAAAGTAACATTTACATCGCCTATATGTGACTGCATATGCACAGAGAAATCAATCAAAAGTTCATATTTAACTGGCATTACTATAGACTGGATTCAGCTTTAAGAGAAATTAGTCGGTAGGATAACTTTGAAAGAGGTTCACACAGCAAACAGGTTACCTAGGTTGCAGTTAGTTGGCCAACTCATCGTACTAGCGTGTAACTAACGCCTACTCCAAAACACCAATCACTCATGCTTCAGCCTTTTGTTGTCCCACAGTTAATGTTACATATAATAGTCTGAGGATGATGGCAAACTTAACAACCTCAACTACGCTGTCCGTAAGACAAATTACTATCTACAGGGCAATGATGAGCATTTGTGCCCAACACACACAAAGGCTCGGTCAATCCATTGAAACGGAAATGTTCTGTGGAACTACAATGCTACACAAAAAGTGAAAATGATATACAATGACGTAAGCTTCGGTTTCTGCTTCTTGGTATACATTAGCAGTAGAAGTGTGTGAATGCTGACTGCATACAGTGTGTTAAACAGTGAAGATATAACGTTACCCCTCTGTTTCTGTTTATATAGAACCTTTCTATTGAATGATCCGTTCCGTGGAATAGTCTGAGTCATGAAAGCCAAGGCGGCGACAAACCCCCAACATCAGACTGGAGGTGGATAATGTTGGCTCAGCTTTACTTCACAAGGTGAATGCTAAACAAATCTAGCGTGCATTAAAAAAAAATGAACATCACACTGTAGCTTACCTTCCAGCCCTATGAATAGCGAAGTATCCTCTTCATATCCAAAATACCGGGGGATGAAACGTCGCACTTTTATCACCCAGCTAGCTAGCAAGCTAATGGAGCTAGCTAGCCTCTCTCCAATGAAGCAACACCGCAGTTCTCAAAAATGCATCACGCATATCATTATATTCCAACGTTGCAATGTTATTCCCAACTTTGCCCATTTGATGGAAAGGCAGATGATGTAAATCCAACAGAAAACCGCTTCACTTGCACACACATTTGTGGGGATCACTTTCCTTTCTCCAATGACAGCTGTCGTCGCACGAGTTCGGGTTATATAGCTAGTTGGTGTTAGCCACCCAAGTCTACGGCAAAACAATTGTACCATTAACGTATAAACAAGCCAAAATCCAAGCAGCTGCAAAAGTCAGCACCCTGTAAATCAAACTTTAAATGTGAATCATCAGCGAATATACAGCGACGCGCAGAGCAAATGTTGGGTGCCGACCGCTTGGTTGGCAACTGGTTCTATTTTCTTCAGCATCGACAAGCTGCGGGACCAAGCGGCCAGATAGGAGACTCTCGCAGCCAGCTTGCCACGCAGTAACAACCGCCTCCAAAGACATGTAAAAACAAACACTAGCTTCCCAAAAACAACATTTCGCTTTCAACAGTGGCCGAACTGCGAAATTCCTATCAAATATCACTAAATTAACTTGAGGATGACGCTTCGGCGTACTCTATAACGGTGGCCATATCTAATGATAAGTGGCACCGAAGCACAGCCCCTCTAGGCTCCTCGAAAACTAGACCCACCTCCCCCGACCATAACTACGGCAGACACGTCTTTCAAAATTGGACTGGCCTTTCGAGAAAGGGATGTTTCGTAAGTGTGTAAAATGCTTAATATCATCGATAACAATATACGATATAACTACTACGTAAACCGTTTAGCAATTTCTTCAAAATACTCTCTGACCCTGCGGAGGGATATGGGCATTTAGTAAATAAAATAATGGCTAGGGAGGGCTGAAAAAGATGGATTCTGGATTAAAGCCGGATTGGAGGGATTTTCCGTTGGTGCTCCAGCTCATGCAAATCTTCGCCAGCAGCACCAGCAGTTGAGTGACTCAAGCGGTCATTAGCCTTCTCCAGCACAGACAGAGCTGAAACACACAAAAATGGATTAATTTAAGTACGAGAGTATGGTGGTGCAGGCTTCGTCCAGAAAGCGTGGATTTAGGTAGACCACGATCATAACGTGTCCCCACGACAACTTCCCCCTTTCTGCTTTCTTTCTCTACTATGTTCTCGCAATGATGCATGGATTGCATTGGGTGTTTAGTGGAGGTAGCCTGCAAATAGACAGACTAGCAGACATACTGTACACGCAAGGGTTAAATTTCGTAAAAGCCCCCAGGGGTCGGCTTCCAGCAGATACACATAACAAGTCACAAAGCCAGTGGGTGTGACGTATTGACGTGTTTGTTGCTTTTTGGGGGTTTCTATCAGATACAACTTACTGAGTTTCTTCGAGTGGTGCCCTCAGAAAATTAACTGGAAATAAACACAGCCCTATTCCTTTAAATGGTAAACCATTGCATCTCTTTTCCTAGACTACGAGCTCCCCCTGCTGGCTAATACAGCACAAGACACACAATGTCTTATTGTTTTTTAATTCATATTTAATACATAGTAGACCATTTAAGCAAAGCAGACAGCAGTTTACAGACGAGTGTCATATAAAAGGGAACATCTAGATAAATCAATAGCATACAGAAACATATATTGAATTGATATACTTGCAGCACTGCAATTGTTCGGGCAACCCACCATAAAGCACCAATAAGCAACTTAAACAACAGACTGTATGTATCAAGACTTAAACAAACTATATAGTGGGAGATGTGTATGTATTTTACACTAAGCATGATTGACCTTTGGATGATGGGTTGGAAATGGTATATTTTAATTTCAGCTACTTTGCTTTAACAAATCATGATTTCTGCACAGAAAGTGACTGGAGTTTGTGTTGGATCATCCCTTATCAAATAATTGGTCATCAGCATTGTCTAATTAGTCAGACTTCACAGGTGTATCAAAGTCACCCCTTGCAGCAACATGAGTAAATAAGTGTACTAATGTGTTGCATTAAGGGCTTTATCCACAGTCGGGTCGAAGCAGAAGAGAGAGTAGAAGATGGATGGATGATGTGTTGCATTTTGCATCATCCTCATATTTTTTGTATTTTGAGTTGTCATGGTAGGACAGGCGTTACTATTAACGTTAGCAATGGCTGTAATCTATGTCCCAATAAGACATAATGACAGTGTGACTGATAAATGGAATCCAGCTATATTATTACACGTCAAAAAGTCTTAATGAAAAGGCCCATTAAACCAACTGACCTTTGACCTATTTACATTATTAAGAATTTCAAGAATAAGACATGAAAAAATCAAAAGAGTACATGTTTGTTTCCCTTTAGCATTTGCTGTTGTAGATTTAGAAAGTGTTTGCTTACATACATTGATATAATAAATTATCTCTTTTACCTCTGCATCCCAATTTTAAACTACAAAATAAAACTACAAAGCATCTCATTGAAATCATAAACACATTGATTTGATATGAAGACTGACTCTGAGGTTTCTTCTAAAATATTATTCAAAGTCTTCATTTATTTTGGTTTGAGAAGCTCAACTCTGCTTTTTCACAGACAGAGGGCAGTATGGCTCTATTTTGTACAACACTGGGAATATAGTACTCAGATGAAATGTTCAAATGTAATTGACAGAAATGAAAAATGCAATTTATTTTGCTAGTAATCTTTTTGCTTTTCAAGTGATAAACAGTACAGTCAATGATTAAAGTATTCTTTATTGTGTGAGACCACTCAATTAAGGTTGTGCAGCGGGTAAAGCAACAATAAACTTGAAAAGTTGTAATTGCATTCTAAATGTAACCAAACACAACACATCTAAATAAATTATTGTCCACACTGTTTTGTATTTGTTGAATTATATTCATCCATCTATTTTTTATTGAACCCCATTCACACACATTTTTGCACATGTCTCTCCAGTTTTTGTGCACATCTTAATCTCTATGATGTAAACCTATATGGTAGGTTTACATCATTGTAAGCAGACAGTTAAATGTTTTTTAATACAATAAGTAATTTCAGCTAAATAAAACATAATTACACGCTGAGTGGTTATACGCTCAAGGAGCTGTTTTTATGGTTGCTAAGCATAATTGATGCCCTTTGGCTATCAGCATTATGGGCTAATTTTCAAGAAAATTCTGAGACGCTGTTACTGGGATATAAAAAAGGCTTTTTGAAGGCTAATGACCTACACTTTGCTAGCCATGCGAGCCATCACGCGGGTGTTAAGACAGGGAATGCAGTTGATCTGCTCCATTATTTCAACAAAATAATTGCCTTCTGTTTATGTTCCTGGTCGTTTTCCTTATGGTTATTTGAATTCATGCCATACATGCAATTAACTGGTCATTATATGCAGACTTTGACATTTGTACGTGGCGCATTCATAATGAAAGACAATCTACACATATAAAAGATGTACAATGGTGTTACTGAGAGGAAATGTAAACCACATGGAAAGACTCAACCTTTTCTGAAGAAACAGCCAATTATTATTTTACTCCTGCAACTAGAAGAAAGGTGCTAATAGAATAGAGTTGCAGGTTGACACCCACCTTACCCGCCTTCCCCTGTATATTTCTTATAGGAGGCTTTTAGTGTCAAACCACTGATGTTGCTCAGGCAAAAGGCAGCTGCACCCACAGTTGTAGAACAACAGGCGAGACAGCTGCCAGGTGAGCAGATGGATCATATTAATATAACAGGGGAGAGAAGAAACATGAAACCAGATGCAAGTTGGGCTCTTTGTCTGCAGATAACAGGTATTGTAAAATTCAGCTGGCAAGAATACTTTGCACAGCCAGATAATTAATTTCCATAGTTACATGCAGAGCACATTTCAAAACCTTAGTTGTGTATGTTGTAAGAATTATGCTCAGTGTGAGTCCTGTAAACCACAGAGAGTATACAAACTTCAAAAGCATTCAGGCAAGGGAATCTGTTTTAATCTTTAATATCAAAGAGATAAGATGTTTAAATATTTCAGTGTAAAATTTGCATCATAATTTCCTCTGACAATTTAGAGTTTAAACTGATTTTGGAATGACTTTTACCTTTTCAACACTGTCTAATTAAAGAACAAAATATGAAATTTGAAGAAGAAAAACTTCAAGACAGACTTTGCTTTATTAAGTTAGATCCAGACGAAACTGGAAAAGTGGGTATTAGAAAGAAAAAGAAAGCATGAGTCTCTTCTTCCTTCCACATCTCGGAAAACAAGTCTTTGTTCCTGCACGCTTTGAATGAAGTAGAAAGGAGTTGCAATTAAAGATTTTAGGTAATTATAAATGTACTAAGTGCTTAGATGTTATGAACAGAGATCATTAAACTCTACAGATATTGGTTGTAAGAGAGTCTAGATCAATCAAATAATTATCAGCTGATTATGAAGAGACTTTCGATATATGAGGTTCAAGACTCGACTCTGTTTCAATGTTTGAATCCTAAAAAAGCGAGCCTGTTTTTTGTGAAAGATTACAAACATTATACTTCATTGCTTTCTATCAGTCTCTTCACATGTTGTGCCTGTCGTGTGACTTTCATTCATAAGGTTGGTTTAATCTCTCCGAGTCCTTTTGAATTTAGAGAGAAATTTATAGTACCACAGAATTATTTTTGAACTAATACATTTTTAGTAAAATTAATCACTGCTCCGCAAGAAAAATAATAATTTGAGGCTGAGGGGATTTGCTACTCTACAGACTTTTGCACAAGCTTTCATGTGTAAAGGCTTCTGAGTGCAGTCCCTACTTGATGAACAATTATATTGCCCATGGCTTGAGGAGCTAATTAGAATCTATTTATAATTGTAGGGCAATATATCCAAAGAGTTAAGAGAGTGAGTAGGATAGAGAAAGAGACATGGGGAAAAAGGGGGTTGGGTGTCATAAAATCAGTCTGCATGCTGTGATATCTGAAACCAAGATGTCTTTGCACAGACAACACAGTGTCCTTACTTTCTTTAGGGGAAGAGGAAAAGGAGTGTAGCAGCAGTTTACAGGACATTCTTGAGAACCACAAGGGCATAAGCGGAGCGATGAAGAGGAACTGCTTGATCTTAAAGTTTCAAAAACTTTTCATACCAGCTTTCATCAGTCAAGTCTTATGTAAAGCTCTCAGGGGCCAGTACAGAAAGACCCTTCTCACAAGGACAAGAAGAAGAAAATATCTTTGGTCTGTGATCAAACAATCACAAAACAAACAGACATTATTGCATATTGAGCAGGAAATGTTGTTCGGTTCTGTACGTCTCTCTGTCAATGACGTTCATTTGCACTGAGCATTTGCATCATCAAAGAATCCAACCAGCGGCGCTACGTCACATGACCGTACTGACAGCTCTCAGCAGCCGGCCACTAATGTTTTTGTAATGATGTGAACCAGACCAGATGCAAAACCAGTGAGTTCAATGTGAATCACCCATCAACTACTTACATGGAGGCCTGAATAGAGTGTGGCACTAAACTTGTGAATCACTAAAACACCCAGTCACATGACAAAGACAAAGTAGGACACAGGCATGAGCAAACAGGTCGATTAACTTTGCTTTAGTTTCAATCTGTGAGTTTCGGATGT